CCCCCCCCCACCCCCCCCCTCCCAAAGAAAGTCCTCTGAAGCGCGTCCATTTGTTTCGTCGGGGTGCTAAGCGCGAGCTCGAACATGTGTGTTGACGTCGCTGCTGCTGTGGCTCTGGAGCGTCGGGCGACGGGAAGAGGGGATTCGTTTTTCTCCGGCTCCGCTCGCGAACAGCTTTTTCGTTGAAACACGTTCGAGCCGCAGGCACAGGCGGGAGGGATTACTACACCAGCTCGGCAAACAACAGGCGTGGGAACCAAGAGTATTGGACACTGGCAAATTGAATTTCGTGAGTCGTGGCCACAGCCGGAGGGGGGAAGAGGGAGAGCCAACAGCTGCCGTCAGTGACATCAAACACCCAGCCGCAGCAGCCTGTTCAGCCAGCCTGTAATTTAAAAAGTTGTGTCCGTGCACGTGCAAAGCGATGCCGCCTCTGCAGGTGACATATACGTATGATACGGGTGTCATAATACACATATGATACGGGCAGGAGCAGCATCTTCGATTTCGGGCGAAGCTTGTTGCCGGACTGTCCTGCGACAAAGGTGTTTTTTCGCTGTTCCCCAATACTGCGAAGTTTACAAACCTTGGTAAGCTTGTTGTGTCCCCCGAAATGGCCGAGGTATCTAGATATATTGAGTACTGGTTGTATGTGTATCGTGCGCACTGCGAACCTTGATCTCTCTTTTTTTTTTACGGGGCATGGAAGCAGTGTAAGCGGTGTAGCAGTAGAGCAGAAGATATCCATATCTAGATTTAGTGTTCGAACGGACGGCCTAAGGGGGCGTTACAAGACGAAAAATATTGCGGCATTCCGTTTGAGGGTCACACACTTGTTGTTGTTGTCTTCGTCACGAGGTCTCAAGGTCCAAGCTCGTGTGTCCGTTGGTTCTTTGTGTGTTGCTGGTGGGGAGGATAGGTGCAGCGTGCGGTGGGCACTTCGGTTTCGTCGACTCGGTTTTTTTCTCGGCACATACAGGCCGCACTTATCCGAAGCGTGCGGTGTTTCGAGAGATGTTTTTCCCCCAAGGCGTGGCGTCGACGCCTCGGTGCTCGTTAGCCGTGAGATGAGCGAGCAGGCGTTCGTGTCACATGGGCCGGGCCGCGGTTCCGGCCTGCCGTTAGGGTACAGAGCTAGCGGTCGTTCGTGTTTCTTCACCTCATGGGCGGTGGCGGTGGCGGTGGCCGGTGCGTGCGATCGGGTGGGGTAGAAGCCTGCGAACGTCGTCTCTGGTTTTAGCACCGAAACTTGTCGCAGGTTGTGCTTTGGGTTCGTGGGTTACACGGTGTTCTTGTTGGTTTTGCATTGGATTGTTTGCGTTTTGCTCATCTTGTCCCTTATCCGAGAAGCTCAGTCTTGTTGAAGTTTCGCTGCAACTAGCTTGCAACGCAAGAGGTTCCACTATTTAACATCGCCGCCTTTCGACCTCTTTCTCGCTTTGGGCCGTGTTCCACTCCACCAAAACCGCCCTCCTTCAACTACTTTAAGGGATAAGTCTCCATGTATTCCCGGTGGCTTTGCGTGCACGCTGCCACACTCTGTGTTTTCCTTCCAAAAGCGCAGAGATGGCGGGAAAAAAAAATTGACGCTCGATCGGACTTGCGCTTAACAAGGATCGGGGGAATTGCAAAAATTGTGAGTGCACGATGATGAAGTCTGTGTACGGAGCCATGACAAGAGCAAAAAGAACAGTACCGCGCTTCCTGTTCTCTTCGCCAAACGCATGCAAGAACGTGCTACGTACATAACCAAGAGAGAATACCAGGGCGGTTGAAGCACCCATCCATTCGGTATCCCATGTTTCATTGCGCTTGCTTGTCTTTCGCTATGTCAACCCAAGCCACTCGCGCCCGAAGATCATCCTGAATGCACTGACGGACGGAATACTGCTGTACCCCAGCTCTCGATTCTGGACCCCAAACCAGTCTTTTAGTACACACGGGGTGCCCTGATTCGGCGAAATACTCAACATTAGTTTACGCTGCAAACAACACACACGCAGACACTTTCCCAAGCAGCAAAGGCGGAGGGCCGTCCTCTCAAATACAAGCAATAACACCGGCGGACCGTTCCTTTGTCGCCTCGAAAGGCGCAACCGCTGCCACAGCCAAACACCGCGGCTATGTGTGTAGCAGCCAGCCGCAAGCATCACGCATGTTTTTGGCGTGAGCAATCCCCATCGAAGCGCTTCAAAAATATCCAAGTCTCCGGCGCGACGGAGTAAATGTGAGTCCCACCAGCTGGGAACCAAACCGGTCGACGAATCACCGCATCCCTTCTCTCTACATCCCTGCTAACGAGCGGTGAGGGGCAGTCCCCGTCTCTCCGCCTCGTCTTCTAACCTCCGAACCCGCCTCCTCAATCTTGCGTTTTCCAAACGAACCTTCGCCAAGGCCGGGCTGTTCATGTTATACCTGTTGGGCCGCACAGAAAGGGTGGGTTCGCCAGGAGTCACTCAATATGTACAGCAATCGGAGCTCAATAGACAGGGGGCGCCGTTGCGGGGGGGTTGCGTGCCTCGGTTGCTCATGGAGAGACAGCACCAACCTTCTTTTCGACATCCCGTCACAAAAAACAGCCTGTTGCAGGCAGACTACTCCTGAAGAGTAAAAAAAAGTCGGATACGAAAACGGAGGTCTCTTGCAGGGAGACTACTAGTGTACTCCGGAGGAAAGACACGAAAATAAAGCAAAAAAGCAGGACATTTGCACGGAAAATAACACAGGTCTGTTGCAGGGTAGACTATTTGCACGGAAAGTAACAAAGGTCTACGCAGAAAACACATTTGATAAAAATCAGGACATGTGCACACAAAACACACAGGTCTCTTGCAGGTAAACTACTGCTGTACTCCGGAGGAAATACACAAAAAAAAGAGCAGGCAGTAGCAGCTGTGCAGCGGGCAGCACACTTAACACGGGGGAAGAAAGAAACGCACCGGCGGAGAACAGGAGGCCCTCCCCGTGCCCGGCACTGTCTGAGGCCCTCCGCAAGCTTGGCGTTAAGGCGCATGATCTTCATCATGAGCTTAGCCGTCTGCTCGACTTGCCAGCACCCAAGCTGCGACCTGCGCTCCGGAGGGGCAGCAAAAAAAAAAAAAAAGGTGGACACAGCGAGCGGAAGCGTGTCCCGCGAGGAAAGGTCTCGTTCGGTCTTTGGTCCGAACCGAAACAACGATGTCTCTCTAATAGCCTGGCTTCTCAACAGGGTGGCGACCTGGTCCTCGAACTTGCCACGACCCTTCGAGAAGGAGGTCAAGGCGACGTGGTATGTTGGCTATCCTACAACCGACTTGATGCTACCGCCTTGCCTTTCCGATTTCCCTCAGGCGAGTCCGACATATCAACTCATCACTGGTGGCCAAAGGTCAGGATGGGGGTACATAGGTTGGGTACCGACTACAACCTGGGGGGGGGAGGCTGCACCCCGAAGTGTGCAAGTTTTTCCGCGTCTCGGAGGGTGACGTTACTCCAACTGACCTGGCAGCATAGACAATAAACGTTTCACCCCGAAGTGGGCAAATGTTCCCGCGTCTCGGAGTGGCGTTATTTTAGCTGACCTGGCAGCTTAGACAAAAAAAATTGTGGTCATGGTCGATCCCCATTGCCCCAACCTCCCCACCCAACCCTGTGGCAGGTTGTGATCCGTGCACAAACTACACCCCCACTAGTGATGATATCTACAAGAAATCGTTATCGTGTATTATTTCGGACTCTGTGGCAAGAACGAGTAGAAAATGAGGGGCTCCCGCCCTCGCTAAACGCTGGGTATGTAGGCCAGCACCCACAGCCCCCGACACGAAAAAAAAAAAAAAAACGAACGTCCGCCGCTCTCTCTCCGACTCGTTTCTTTCCCCAACACGTCGTACTCGACCACGCCTGCTCGCTCACCTGCTCATCATCTGCCGCAGCTCCTTCCGGACCTGCCTCCCCACGCTCTTCCCCCTCACCACCGTCGCCTCCGCCGCTACCTCCAACTCCGTCCTCTCCACCTCCGCCGCGTCACCCTCCTCCCCTTGCCCCACGGCACCGACCGATCCCGTCCTCCCGCCGTCGCCGCAAGGCGACCCGTCCGGCCCGGCAACCGCCGAGGTGTTGCGAATGGCCTTCTCGAGCCTTCGCAGGTCGTACGCCTTCTTCGTCAGGAGGGACTTGACGCAGGACACGTCCTTCCACCGGCACTCCGGGTGTTGATACCGCCCCTGCTCTTTCACGCTCCTCCCCGGCTGTTTTTTTTTATTGGGGGGGGGGGGGGGGGGGGCCCCCCCCCCCCCCCCAAAATTTCCGCCAAACAAGGTTCCCAAAAAGGAAAAAAAAAAAAAACAAGGGGGGGGATTTTAAAAACCAAGGAAAAAAATGGGCCCCCCCATTAAAAAAAAAAGGGGGAACCCCCAAAAAAAATTTAAAAAGAACCGGGACCAATTTGCCCGGGAAACCCCGGCCCGGCCCCCCCGAAACCCCCCCCAAAAACATGGGGGAAAAGGGAAGAAAAAAACAAAAGGGGCCAAACACCAACCAAAGGTGGCAACCGCCCCTCCAGGAAAAAAAAAGGTTTTTCCCCCCAAAAAGAAAAAAGGGCCAAGCCACACCCAGAAAGCAAAAACACAAAAAAAATGGGGAA